CATGCTAAAACTATGTTACATAAATTGTCTATTTTAATCCTCTTAACAACCCTATCAAATGGATGTTATTTCTGTTTCTTAAATGAAGAAAACTAATTGGCAAACGTAACCCACTACTAAATGGCAAAGCCAGACTTCGAACTCTGGTCTCTCTGAGACCTTGCACTTAGTGATTGTTCATAAATTGATTAAAAATTATTACTTGACATTTCTAGCATGGGAATAGTAGTATATCTTTGGGTATATGAGCTTGTTTTCAGAATTCCTTCAGTTGGCCCAAAAACCAGAGAAATTCTAGTTTTTCATCATCTAAAGAGGAGAATGAAGCTAGATATTGGTCACTTAGGATATATTATGATGATTGTCTGTTAATGTTGTTAAGGGAGTTAGAGACTGGAGATAAAGGATTGGTTTTGGTCATGTTTTATACAGTTTGCATGCATTGATGACTATGCATAATATCACCAGGTCTGAGTGTACCGAGAGGGAGGAATCATTTCATTGGTCAGATATTTTAATTTAATAACAAAATCAAATTGCTAATGTTAGTACTTTCTACCCCCTCTACATTTACTTCATAGTTTCACACCCCTTTCTGCATATTTATCATAGCTCTTTGACCTTCACAGCTGCTTTGCTTTTGCTTAATATGAAGTGATTCTTAATGCCCTTTATGAAGGCAGGGAGCCCTGCAGAGTTCCCCATCCATCTGTATGTCCATTTAGTCTTTGTAATCCACTGTGTCATCATAGTGGTTAAGTAATGCCCTCAGGTCAGGAAGCCCAGTCCGTACAGCTTAATTAAGTCACTTACTTCTCTTTGGCACCAGAGACATAAAGCCTGACCCGGTGAATAAGACCATCTGTTTTGTGCTTCACTGCTTTAGATGTTCATGCATGATTTTATTTGCATTGGTTTTTGCTTAGGTCTTGCCCAAGTGATCAGAGCTTGTAAGGCTAGTATGTTACTACCTCAAAGGAACTGAATGTGTTTTAGAAGTTGGATCTGGTTCTCATTTGTAGATTTTCTGGGAATTATTAAGAATAATATTGTGATATGCTTTATAATTCAGGAGCCTATTTCTATTTCTAAAAATGCCAAGTTGAACAGACATTTGGTTACTGTAATGAGAAACTGGAGTGTAGGTGGTTCCATTTTATATACAGAATCTTTGGTGGGTTTTATGTTGGAAGCATAGACTGAAGTACATGTGATTGATATCAGTAAACTCTATTGCTTGCCTCACATTTTCACACCCCAGTTTCCACACCCCTTCCATTTTAATTACCCAGCTTTTCCAGTGTGGAAAAGTATACTCTGGATCTCATTTTTGAAGTGCCAGTCGTGTGGTCTTGCATCCTCACTGATTTAGTCAAGGAGGTGTTAGGGAATTTAAATTCCTCTGCCCAAAAATAGTTTTGCCTCTGGCTCTGAGGTGTCATCACACTTTCCCAAATTATCCTGGCTGTTAGCATTTAGAAAAATAACCAGACATATGTTGTAATCCTCCTTTTTATTAAAAAAAAAAAAAATGTTTTCCTCCTTCTAGTGGCAGCAGTTCTGGCAATGGTTGAGGTTCATGAAGAACAGAGAAGTTAAAGATTCTGCGTGTAGTTCTTGTGTGAATTAGTTACATCTGGCACTGGGGCCATAGTAGGTTGCTTTCAGGGAATGGTGACCCAAGAGGTGAGGGGATGAGCTTTGGGCCAGAGCTGCTATGTACAATTATGAAGGCCTTGGTGTGAGTTGCATTGGTCTAGGGTGAGGGGGGCCCTTTTCTCTTTTCAAAAAGGTACCATGAAGACTAATTGATGGCCCTAGTAATGCCTACTTAGAATATATAACTTCCTGGGGCACCTGGCTGCTTCAGTCAGTTAAATGTCCAACTCTTGGCTTCGGCTCAGGTCGGGAGATCAAGCCCTGCATTGGACTCTGCGCTCAGCCCAGAGTCTGCTTGAGATGCTTTCCCTCCCCCTCTGCTCCTCCCCCCTTCCCTCATGCATGTGCATGTGTGCACACATGCTCTTTCTCTAAATAAATAAATAAAATCCTTAAAAAAAAAAGAATATGTAACTTCCTGGGTCCTAGGAAGAATTTGTAATAGGTAGATAGAAATTCTAAATTCCTATCGTCTCTATTGTTCTTCTTTTGCTCTTTTAAAGATTTTTTATTTTATTTTATTTATTTGATAGAGACACAGCGGGAGAGGGAACACAAGCAGGGGGAGTGGGAGAGGGAGAAGAAGGCCTCCTGCTGAGCAAGGAGCCCGATGGGGGGCTCAATCCCAGGACCCTGGAGTCATGACCTGAGCCGAAGGCAGACGTTCAACCAACTGAGCCACCCAGGCCCCCCTCTTTGGCCCTTTTAATTATTAAATTTCTATTATATTTTATCGTGCTACTCATAATTTTAACAAGGACAGTATGGGCCACTAGTTCATCCAGAGCTACCTGTCATCATCCTGTAATACTGGAAAAAGTGATGCTTTGCCTGGTATGTGACAGACACCTCTAGTTAGAGGCAGCCCTCTCACTGGTCAGCCCAGTGTGAATTTGGCTGGCCTCTGTTGAATGTTTCTTAAATAAACAAGTTTCCCTTTTGGCAATGGTGGCAGACATATGGAATGCAAGAGTCTGGCAAAAGCCGTGTCAAATAGGGTCCTTAAGCTACTTAGCTGCTTAATGGCTACTCTCACTGTTGTGACTGAGGAAATACCTTCCAACTGGAAAATAAGTCATCTTGCTGCCAGGGGACAAACATATTCATTATTTATTCTACCAGAAGAAAGGGCAGTGCTTACTGCTTTGCTGGACAAGGAATTTTTTTTTTTTTAAAGATTTTATTTATTCATTTATTTGAGAGAGTGAGAGAGAGAGAGCACATGAGAGGGGGGAAGGTCAGAGGGAGAAGCAGACTCCCCGCTGAGCAGGGAGCCCGATGCGGGACTCGATCCCGGGACTCCAGGATCATGACCTGAGCCGAAGGCAGTCGCTTAACCAACTGAGCCACCCTGGCGCCCGCTGGACAAGGAATTTTTGCATTTAAGTTATAGTAATCATTAAACTGATACCAAAAAAAAAGAAAGAAAGAAAGTACTATAGAAGATGTTTGTGCTTTGATTATTGTTAGAATCGAGGACATGTAAATATATTCTGTAGTTCTGCCTGATGGAAAAATCTAATGGCTTTCAAAAGCATTAAGTAGCTCTATTTTCTCTTAGTAAATGTGAATGCTAATAGAAACAAGCTGCTGGGAGGTGGAATTTGGCCAATATCCATTTGGTTTCTGGAGATGTTTTGTGTGGTTTTCTGGATTGGAGTTTATGCAAGTTACAAATTCCTATTTTATATTACAGTAATTAGCTGTAAAAGTAGTTCTTTAGTTACTGCTCTAAGTACTTGGTTCCTTTGGGCCAATGTGACTGTTGGACCAATAAAGTTAGTCCCAGGAACTGAAGCCTGAGTGAAGGGTTTATCGGCACCTGTTCAGCACAGGAGGATTTGAATTGTCTGAAATGACCATCCTTTAGGAAAGGAATCCTTTCATGTACTTTCAAGTTTTACATAAGGTTTTTGTCCTTTACAAGAAGCATAAGAAATGCCTATGGTTAATGTATATATGCTGGAGGCAAGGGGTTGAAGAGATCAGGGGAGAAACCAGTATTTTTTGTCTATTTCATTTGCCCAGTGAATCCCTGAAGGGAAAGTACTTAGAAATAAAGATAAAGGGGGCGCCTGGGTGGCTCAGTCGTTAAGCGTCTGCCTTCGGCTCAGGTCACGATCCCAGGGTCTTGGGATCAAGTCCCACATCGGGCTCCCTGCTCCAAAGGAAGCCTGCTTCTCCCTCTCCCACTCCCCCTGCTTGTGTTTCTGCTCTCGCTATCTCTCTCTCTGTCAAATAAATAAATAAAAATCTTTAAAAAAAAAAAAAAAAAGAAAGAAAGAAAGATGAAGTTGAAGCCTAGCAGAGTCTGTTTTACCCAACCTTTGCTTTAAGGTTTCAATTAAACCTGCTGTTTCTGAGAAGGAACAGTCTCTGTTTTTGAGTCCTTAGGACCTTGGAACAGATTCTACTATTGTTTTACTTATCCCCTGAGGGTGGGCCTCCAGATAGGATGAAACCAGACAATTAGGATCTCAGACACCACCACCCTTTCCAAGTCCTCTGCGGTGACAGGATGGGATGGTGTGGACTTGTATTAAAAGATGGTGTATAAATATTTTCTAGGGAAAAGCTGGCAGAAAAGAATATACATTGAGAAAATTTTTTATTTGTGAAAAATGTAAATCCTGGTGAATTTATCGAAGAGTCAGAGGAGGGAGAGGAGAGTTTAAGGTCCATAGTGGAAATATTTTGTTGATTCTGTGTGCCAAACACATTGCAAAAAGCTTTAAGTGTGTTATCTGATGATGTGCAATATGAAAGTCTCATAACCCACTTAACAGATGAGGAAAATGAGGCTAGCCCAGGGAAACACAGTAATACTGGCTCTAGTATTCTCTGATTATCAAGAATGTGCCAGTCTCCTCCACATGCTTTACCTAGAATGCTCTTGTTGTTGGGAAATAATTACTGAAAGTGAACAAAGGGACTTTCCATAATAAAATTAAGTGAGATCTCTTGGGGACTTCTAAAATGAATGGATTGTGTTCATATAGCACTATTGGAATAAGTTTAAAGGCTACTTAGCAATACAATTTCCAGATACCCTTTAATATAATTACGAAGTTTGGAGATCAAAAGATTTAAGAGAAATATACAGACTGTTTTAAAACCAAATATCTACCCTAGCCACTTTGTTGTGGTGGGTTTTTTGTTTTTGTTTTTTTTTTCTATCTAGCTAAGTGGGATAGAAGGAAGTGGGCACTTTCAATTTGTAATTCTACGTGGAAAATACAGTTTGTGATTTATGTTGTTTTAAAGAGAAGCACTGGGGGAAAAAGCTTTATGTCAAATTATATGTCTATATATGTTATTTTTCCTTCCCTGAACTGTAATAGGATTTCCGAGACGCAGTGGCCCATGCTTCCAGGCACCTTGGGAAACCCGTGATTGAGGACCGGATCCTAAATCAGATCCTGTACTACTTGCCTCAGCTGTATGAGCTCAACCGGGATCTCCTGAAGGAACTGGAGGAAAGAATGTCAAACTGGTAAAAATGGACTGATCAGCTTTCCCAGAGTCCCAATTTTAGATGAAGCCATAAGGGCCCTGCTTGTGACAGAGAGGTGGTGTTCCTTACATTGAGTTGTTGCAATGTATTGAATTTCTTTTTTTTTTTTTTATTCATTTGAGACACAGAGAGAGAGAGAGAGAGCATGAGCAGGGGGAGAGGCAGAGGGAGAGGGAGAAGCGGGCTTCCTGCTGAACCAGGAGCCCGAAGTGGGACTCGATTCCAGGACCCTGGGATCATGACCTGAGCCGAAGGCAGATGCTTAACCATCTGAGCCACCCAGGCACCCCTGCAATGTATTGAATTTCTTGGCAGTTACCTGTAGATTGGTCATTTTTTATTTTTTTCCAAGATTTTATTTATTTGAGAGAGAGCAAGTGAGAGGGAAAGAGTGGGGGGGCGGAGAGAGGGAGAATGAGCCAGGGGGAGGGGCAAAGGGAGAAGCAGACTCCCCGACATGGGGCTAGATCCCAGGACCCAGAAATATGACCTGAGTGAAGGCAGACGCTTAACTGACTGAGTCACCTAGACACCCCTAGATTGTTCATTTTAGATGGCCGAAATTCACAACCTTGACACACTGACCTCAATTCTAGAAATGTTTAAGTTCTTTGGTAATATTGCCTCAAAAACAAGAAGGGTCCATATTCAGCCAATTTAACTTTCTGTAGGTGATAATCAAGGTTTTTGAGATTGAGGGAATTTACTTGATATATTCACATTGAAAAGTTTTTAAATGCTTAATTATCTTTTCTGGAATTTCATGAATCTTTCTTTACATTTTGGGAAATAGGCCATTCACTGAGATAATATGTTTGTTTGGTTTAGAAAATTTACATGTGTATGATATCATTGTAGGCTATAGATTTCCAAACTGGAAAAGAATACCAAAAGGTTAACTACTTCCTTGGGTTGTAGAAAGTAAGCAGACACTTTGGTGACATCTTCAGAAATATGTAGAAAATTTGTTCTAGGGGTTTTGAGAATTTATTGTCCCTGGGAACCCCAAATGATTAGCATAACAAAATAGTGTCACCTACTTTCATGATCAAAATTTCCCCGTAAGCTTTCTTTCTAGAAAAATACCTCTTGCCCATTTTGGAAATATCGTGCCTCTGCATGTTGGGAAAATATGTTAGATGAGTGATTAATTCCTAGCTGTAGCCTAAGTGTAAAATAACCCAGGGTTAAGGACTGAGGAATGACTAAAAGGTATTTTTAAAAGTCATGATAGAAATAAAATGTGATTACAAAGAATTTTCCTATATATACTTTGTCATTCTTATAAAAATTTAAAAAAAAAGTAAAATTACTCAATTGCTTTTAAAAGATACGCATATTTATGCAAGGGGTGTTAAAGAGGCTTAAATTTATTTTTTGCTTGTGTAAAGGTTTTCTCAAGTTTAGATCGATAGATGTTCTACGTTAAAGTATTAAGCATTCCTAAGAAACAGACTAAATTGATGAAAGGGACAGCTAAAACGATATTTATGGGAAAAGCTACACTTGTTACTGACATGAAATTCTTCTGATCCTTGGATAAGATATTTTCTACTTACTAAAATATTTTTCTCTCAGGGGCCTTCAAGTTAAGACATATTCTTTGGTTTTAGTATGCTTTCTAAAATAACATTTATTTTTACATTGGCTTTTAATAATTGTTGAAATACTTCATTTCTGCATTCAACAAGGTTTTGAGTTATCTATGGTGTGCTGGTCAGGGCTCTAAGCATGGCGGGAGTATCACATTGCACAAAATAGATAAGGCTTTTGCCCTCATGGAGTAGACATTTTAGGTGGGGGAGAACCAGAAAAATGGACAAGAAACAAGATACAAGCAATTTGTGATCTGGAAAGATGTAAAATAAGATGACGTGCTGGCGAGTGAAGATTGGGTGGCCAAGGAAGGCCCTCTGGAAAGGAAAGGACTTTAACGTGACATCTGAACGAAAAGGAAGAACTGGCCAGGGTTTCCTATTTCCAGGCATGCAAAGCCATTAGTAAAAGTTTGCAAAGTGGGAATGACTCCGTATGTCAAAGGAATATAAAGATGGCCAGTGTGGTTGGAGAGGACTGAGAAAGAAGGAGAGAAGCATGAAATGGGTCAGAAAAGTAGGCAGCAGCAGGACCAGTGGGGCTTTTGTAAGCCAAGGGAAGGAGTTTGTTTTCCTGCTGAGTCCTGTAGGAGGCCCTTGGAAGTCACATGGTGTAATATACGTTTTTAGACTCTCTGGCTGCACAGTAGGATGAGATGGTAGAAGTGGGGAGACCAGTCAGAGGGCTGGCAAAATCCAGGTGACATGTGATGGTGGCAGTGGGAATGGTGAAGAGTAGGCATTTGGGGATAGGAGATGTCTTATAAGAAGGGAGAAGAGGACGCCCTGATGGCTTAGACACGGGACTCTCATTGGATATTAGATATGTTTTGGAGACGTCAATGACTCTTTTCATGTTTTTGTGTATCTCTTCTCTATCTTAGGACTGAACAACATAGAATTGCTGATATCTTTGTAAAGAAGGGACCATATCTAAAAATGTATTCCACGTACATCAAAGAATTTGACAAAAATATAGCTTTGCTGGATGAGCAGTGCAAGAAGAACCCAGCTTTTGCTGCTGTTGTTAGAGATTTTGAGGTATTTTTGCTCCCATATAATGTCGAACCCTTTTTCTTTATTTGTTGTTTTTAAAGCTGTAATAATTTGTAATCGTTGAAAACAAAAAGATACTAAAATATAATCCCTTCAAAGTCAAAAAGGGGTTGAGCAAATTAAAAGGTGAGAAAGTGTGTACAAGATTTAATTTTGAAAAATCTATGATTGCATGCTAGAATATGTTGATTGGTTTTTTTTAATTGTGGAGAAATACCACATAAAATAAAACTTAACCATCTTAACCGTTTTTAAGCGTGTGGTTCAGTAGCGTTAAGTACCTTTATGTTGTTTTGCAACCAATCTCTACAACTCTCTTCATCTTAACATTGCAAAGCTGAAACTATGGCTAAAACAGCATCCCATTTTCCCCTCCCCGAGCCCCTGGTGACCACCATTATATCCTTCTGTCTCTGAATTTGACTACTCTAGAAACATTTCTTATTTTTAACTCAACCTTTCCTTTTATTCTTCTAACAACTAATCTACAGTGAAGGATGGGAAATGTAATTTGTTTCCCTTTAGATAAATAAGTGACACAGATTCAGTGTCAAAGTTAAGAAAAATTAATGACGTGTTTATAACCAAAGCATTGTGTTTGGACTCAAAGCTATGAGAGTACAAGCCTGATTTGATTGGGGATAAATGATATAATACATCTCTTAAAAATTAGTTTTAACTACAATTTAAGTCCTTCCCCCAATCTTGGGTAAAATGTGAATTATTATATGTTTTAATACTCATTTCTCTCTGTTGTAACTAAAAAAAATCAGCGAATTCTAGTCACGCAAAACTAGAAAAGTTTTAGAAGTATTAAGATATTGCTGATTTCTTATTTGTACATTAAACACAAATTTAAAATCATTTGTTGTCGGGGCGCCTGGGTGGCTCAGATGGTTAAGCATCTGCCTTCAGCTCAGGTCATGATCCCAGGGTCCTGGGATCGAGCCCCGCATCGGGCTCCCTGTCAGCGGGGAGCCTGCTTCTCCCTCTCCCTCTGCTTCTCTCCCTGCTCATGTTCTCTCTCTCTCTCTCTCTCTGTATCTCTGTGTCTCAAATGAATAAATAAAATCTTTAAAAAAATAAATAAAATCATTTGTTGTCTTTTTTCCTTTTTTTTTCTTTTCCTCTCCTCTGATGTCTTCATGCTGTAAGAAAGGAAGTGTGATTTCTGTAGCTATGGCAACTGATAATTGACCCAGGTTTTCATCAGTGTCCAGTGCATTGTTCTGTTGCCTTGGCAGCAAAAGAAAAAACATAAGATGGGAAAATTAGCTGTCTTGGTTAATGGTGCTTGCATGGTAGATGCTTTCTTAAATGCGGTATAATTATAACTTTTTTTTTTTTAAGATTTTATTTATTTATTTGACAGAGAGAGACAGCGAGAGAGGGAACACAAACAGGGGGAGTGGGAGAGGGAGAAGCAGGCTTCCCGCGGGGCAGGGAGCCTGATGTGGGGCTCGATCCCAGGACCCTGGGACCATGACCTGAGCCAAAGGCAGATGCTTAACAACTGAGCCACCCAGGCGCCCCTCATTATAACTTCCTAATTATTCTGTGTACCAGACCCTAGAGGTGCATATTTAGAAAAAGATGGAACGATCTGAGCAAATCTAAGAAAACCCTTCCCCACCCACCTGAGCTGTGGAAGAAGTAGAAGTACAAGACATCTTAGGATGCAGGGACATTTTCATTTGGCCATTTTGATGCCACCTCACAGTACATTCCTGTGTCGGAGAATGCAAAGCCTAGGATTGGGTGGAAGTGTCTGTTGTACATACTAAGGAAAAGAGCTTTAAAGGCAAAATCAAATGTCCTTTTGGTCAAGTCAGAATGGCTCTGGAATCAAAATGTCTCTCCAGAATGCTGATTTGGGAACTGTCTTTTATAACCATCTGAGAAAGAAATTCTACATCCATCAGGCTTACTAGAAAAGGTATGCTCAGCAGGGCTGCTTTTCAGGTTATCTTTAGTTTCTGCAACGCTCCCCACTACCACCAATTGTTATCGTGGGTATATTGACCGTAGGCTCTGCTTATTATTTGAGTCCAGTTCCCGATAGCTTTATTTCTTCTGCCTTATCTTGAGGGCCATGCAATTCTTTAGGGTTTGTTTGTGCTTGTGGATACACTGGCAAATACTTGCTAAGTGGCAGCTGCTGAGTATGGTGGGCTCTCACTGAGCTGGAGCCGGCTGCAGCCACCCCTGTCTGAGAGTGAGTCGGGACTTCAGAGACCTCCCTGCGGGAGAGATGGGTGGGCTAGCTGGTGAGTCAGCTGTGGCTTAGTAGCTGCGCCTTAGAATAAAGGGAGCTTCCCCATGAGTCCCCTTCCAGAGCTGTTGGGGCTTTCTAAAGTTTGGCTTCCTGGGCACTTGAATCTGGATCCCTTGTTTCTTAAAAGAACGCTTGTGTTTACTCTGGATACGTTTTCCTTTCAGATGAGCCCACGCTGTGCTAATCTGGCCCTCAAGCACTACCTGCTCAAGCCAGTTCAGCGGATCCCGCAGTACAGGCTGCTGCTGACAGGTGGGCTTCTTCGGCAGTTTGCCAACCAACCAGCTCATACTACTTTTATGAAACTCTCCCGCTCCTAAGAACGCCTCTTTCTAACACTCCAATAACCCCCTATCTAATACACGGATCTATAGACCGATTACAGCTTCACATATATATCGCCAGAGCTACACTTCTCTCGGTTCTTTGACCGTCTCTGCATGCATTCTCTGCTCTGGGCACTCACACGTGTACGTCGTACCCTCCCAACCCCACATCCCTGCATCGTTTTACCGGATTAATATTATGAATCTCAAGAATGTCCTTTCCCAGCCACTCAGGATTGAGTTGTAGGGAGTCACTCCCACATATTCATGTAGCAACGGTTGTTGCCCTGGTCACTTACCTCAGAGGGTGTAAGGACTGATGAATGAGCTGTGTGCTTAGAGTAGTGCTTTGGTCATAGTAAGTTCAAAATCAGTATCAGCTGCTATTAATAGTAGTCGTACCCTTATCGTCATCATTACTATGTTGTTGTCACGGGCATTGTCTGTATCTTCTGCTAGACTGTAAGCGTCAAGATTACAGGGCTTTGTCTATCTGGCTTACCGCTATAATAGTAAAAAGAAAAATGAAGAAGAGGGGAAGGCTGTGAGTTGAGTGAAGGTGTACACTGCGCTCAGGGCTTTATATTCATTGGCTTTCCCAAGTCTTCACCATAGCTATGCGTATATCACAATATTATTTACATAGATGTAATAACAGGCTTATAGAGATAAGAATTTGGCATCACAGCAAAGCTAATACAGTCTCACACCAAATCTCTTATCCAGCACATGCTACTAGGTCCTCTGGAGTATTTGTTGAAATGTAGTGGATGTAGGGCACCTGGGTGGCTTAGTCGTTAAGCGTCTGCCTTTGGCTCAGGTCATGTTCCCAGGGCCCTGGGATCGAGTCCCACATCGGGCTCCCTGCTCCGCGGGGAGTCTGCTTCTCCCTCTCCCGCTCCCCCTGCTTGTGTTCCCTCTCTCGCTGTGTCTCTCTGTCAAAAAAATAAATAAAAATCTTTAAAAAAAAAAAAAAAGAAATACAGTGCATGTACATCGAATTAATATACATATATATAGTATGTATTAAAAATTATAACAAAATGGGGCGCCTGGGTGGCTCAGTCGGTTAAGCGTCCGACTCTTGGTTTCAACTCAGGTCATGATCTCAGGGTCGTGGGATGGAGCCTGTCATTGAGCCCCGCTCAGCTCAGATTATGCTTAAGAGTCTCTCTCTCTTTCCCTCTGCTCCTCCCCCTGCTCACACTCTTTCAAATAAATATATAAACAAAATCTTTATAAAAAAAAGAATTGTGTCAAAATGGATAAGAATCTCAAAATGCCACCACAACTGTAAATCAATCTGTAGTAATTTTATCATGTAAATAGATTTTGATGTACTTGGTTCCTGTTGGTATTCTTTAAAAATGGTGTGCATGCTCCTTTCCTTAATCCTTTCTCATAAGCCAAGAACTATGTTGGATAGAGTAGGTGAATGCTGGAAAGCCAGGATTTCCTGATATTCCTTTAGGCAAAGCCTTCCTGGGTTGCCTTTTAAAAGACAAAGTGCTGTTGAGGAAGCTCTACCTTCAGCATCAGGACCTGACTACCCTAGGTGTTTCAAGTGTTTACTTTGAATTTCTAACTGTGAATCAGACACGAGATTTTTCTCTGGAATGACATAAGGCAAACCAGATAATTTGAGGATATCCTGTCCATTTGTACTTTCTTTCCTCTGCTTTTGGCAGAGATTTAGAATACACAGGACAAAAGGAAGTACCAATGCATGTGTTGTGTTTTTGCTAGATAAGTTCAATGCTGTATCATAAATGAAGCTATCAAATGGCTTAGGCTATTTCTACAGCTGTGGAATGAAATACTGTTTTTAGTGGCAAAAGACTACTGTGGTTTCAAATGAGAGAAGGATGGAGCAGGACTCTGAAATTTTAATGTAAAAAATTTCCCCCCCACACTATGACTGATCTAAGTAAAAAAGTTACACATACGTTTAATTTAGGATTCATGAAGAGGTTGGTTTTAACTGAGAAATGATGAAGTAGCAAAAGCAAGTTAAAAAAATTCTTTTTTTAGAGAACAGATTTCATGTGTTTTATGATAGCAACATAATGTAAGCTTGGGGTTGTTTTATTTTGAGCTTTCCTCTTCTTTAATCTTAAAGCCATTTACCCCTTCTTTAAGTTGAAAAATCTCCATTATTTATTTACGTATGGTAGACCCTCAGTAATTGTGGATTTACTGAAGGGTAATGGTGATAAATGGATTGTTCAAGGTCACAGAGTCAGGACTAATGTTTAAGAAAGAACATAGACTTTGTAAAGAAATAACATAGACTTCATGTTCTTCATCCTTTGCCTTTTTTTTCATTGATTCAAATTCTTCTTTTCCCTCCAAGCCTGACCTGAAATCCCCCCTTGCTTTTGAAGCCATCTCTCATTACTCCAGTCCTCCTTGACCCTTATTATTAGTGCCATGTGACCTAGCAAATATTTACAGTAGTCCCCCCTTACTCACCAGGGATCTATCCCAAGAATGCCAATGGATGCCTAAAACCACGGATAGTACCATACAGTGTGCATACTCTTGTTTTTTCCCCTACCTACATACCTATGATAAAGCTTAATTTATAAATTAGTCACAGTAAGAGATTAATAATAATAATCAAATAAAATAATTATAACAATATACTATAACAAAAATTAAGTGAATGTGCTCTCTCTCTCAAAATATCTTATCATACTATGGTTACCCTCCTTGTGATGATGTGAGATGATAAAATGCCTATGTGATGAGATGAAGGGAGGTGAGTGACAATAGGTACTATGTGTCCTTAGGTTGCCTTCGACCTTCTGTGACGTGTTAGGAGGATCATCATCTGCCTCCACTTGCACAGCAGTTGACTTTGTGTAACTGAAACCATAGAAAGTGAAACTACAGATAAGGGGGGACTACTGTATTCAGTTTTTTGTGAATTTGCTAATATTTTTCTAATTTGAATAGTGCTTCCTTAATTTGATTATAAACTCCTTGCGGTTAAAGAGTGAGTCTTGGGGCGCCTGGGTGGCTCAGATGGTTAAGCCTCTGCCTTTGGCTCAGGTCATGATCCCAGGGTCCTGGGATCGAGCCCTGCATCGGGCTCCCTGCTCCGCGGGAAGCCTGCTTCTCCCCCTCCTTCCTGCTCAAGCTCTCTCTCAGTATCTCTGTCTGTCTCAAATAAATAAATAAAATATTTAAAAAAAAAAAAACAAAGAGTGAGTCTTTACCAACCATTTAGTGCACCCCAATTTATCTGGGTCAGTTTGGGTTACCTTGGATGCCATTCAGAAAATAATTTTGGCTGCTTTTAAGCTACGTTTAAAACGTCCCATTAGGGGTGCCTGGGTGACTCGGTTAAGCGTCTGCCTTTGGCTCAGGTCATGATCCCAGCGTCCTGGGATTGAGTCCCACATCAGGCTCCCTGCTCAGCGGGGAGCCTGCTCCTCCCTCTCCCTCTGCCTCTCTCCCTATGTGTGCTCTCTTGCTCGCGCTCTCTCTCAAATAAATAAAATCTTTTAAAAATAATAAAAATAAACAAATAATGAAACATCCCATTAGCCAAAACATCTTTAGCCTGAAGGACAACATTGAGATAGAGAATTTCAGAGGTGATGTCTTCTTCTAAATGGAAGACACATTCGGAGAGGTTGAAGTGTCCTTCCCAAGACTACACAAATGGTATTGATGGAAGTGTATGTATGGTTATGTAATCCTAAGGACAGATGGAGGTTGTGATACTATGGTTTTGTTTCACATTTTTATTTAAAATTCTGATTTTCCAGTACTCATTTTTGTGATGTTCTGATTGCTCCCTACTTTGGAAGATATTTCTACAGTTGCTATCAAAGTGCCCCCTGTCCATGCACTTAAATTTTTAGAAGTTGGATTTTAAGTCTTTAAGTTTGCATCTATTTAAACATGATAGTTAACTGGGTCCTCATCTTTGGATAAACAAGCTCAATGTTTTAATTCTCTGAACAACCTTGTGGGGTAAATACTTTCCTTTTCTTCCCCCCTCCCCCAACTTTTTCATTTTAGAATTTGAAGTAATTCCAAGTGCACAGAATATATAGGAGCAGAGAGGAACAGTGAGACTATTTGGGGCAACTTTTGACAACTTTGATTTATTAATGAGTTTTAGGCAGACAAGGGGAAGAATCGCTGCCTGACTCAGTGTAAATTTGTGCCTGCCTTGGTTTCTTAAGAGGAGAAGATTGAAAAATGTAGAGATGAAGTACAGATAAGCTAGGATAGTTTCTTTTGGAATGCTTTTAGAGAGAGGTAATTGGAAATTCCCAGATACAGCGACCTGCCCCTACTAGTCAGACAACCATCCTGTTGTCTTGCAGTGTTTTCTTCCGGGACATAATTTGGGCTTCAACTGGGTATTCTACTTACGTTTTCATAGTAAAAACACTTCCAACTAAATTTCTGGTAGAACTTTTTTAAGCTCAACCTAAAATAGGATTAAAGAAAATGTATATGTCGTATGATGAATGCTTAAGATTAGAATTATCTTTTTTAAAAAAGGTAAAATTAAGTAATTTACTTAATTTAAGTAGAAAAACTTGTAAATTTTACCTTTATATTGGCCACTCAAGGCAAATAGATCTAGCCAGATCTTGAAATCTGCATGGGACCCACAACCTGCTTAGAGCTAGGAGCATGAGGCAACAGTGAAGAAGCAATGGAAGGAAACAGGTGCTGTTATAGGAGCAGCATTAATTTTTTACTTCTGTTTATGTCCTTCCTCATCTCTTCAGTGTTGAGACTGTCTTTATTATCCTGACTCTGGGCCTGGCATAGATTCTGGCCCATAACAGGGACTCTACTGAGATGGAAGGTTTAGGGAATTAAACGTTGTTCCTTTTCACGAGGTTGAGAATCCCCTGAATCTTGGATGGATGAATGGGTCAATAAATTGTTAAGAGT